AGATGCATGGAAAAATTGCTGCACTAGACAAGAGAGACATGTGTCAGCATTTTAAACATCCACTTCCTGCATGATAAAGTCTCTTTTGCTACAGGAAACACCAGCACTTAAAAAACAGGCATGTAAGGTAGACTGGTGGCTTCCAGGGAGAGGGACTTGGTAGTACTGGGGATAAAGAGTCCAATTTTATAGACAATCCACAAAGATGCAGGAATGGAAAGCAGAACAGCAGCCACACATTTATTTGTAGGCAAATAGGTATAGACAAACCTTACTGCGCTGGTATACTTGCTGCCTAATCCTTCCCTTGCTAGCAAGAAAGCCTTACACTTTCTTGCAGGAGCATGCTCTGGGCTCAGATGAAGCAGCACATCTCCATTTCTGGACTGGATGAAGTGTCTTGCCCATGGTGTTACAGAAAAATAAAGTCTCGTTACTAGGAATAGAGCCCTGGGAGAACCCTGCCTCAGATCGTGTGCACGTTTATCCATACAACTATTTTGCTGAAGGCCTCAGAAAAGGAATCGTGCATCCCCCTCTACAAACCCTACTATAGGAGCTGCCTGCATGTATTGTGCTGAAGTCATAGTCCCTGTTACAGCTCTGCTGGAGCAGATTTTGGCCTTGTCTAGATTAGAAAGAAAGGTTTTCATAGTACGGAGGGTCTAGGATTCTTCCGGGCCTGATTTGACCTCCTAAACGTGTTAAACTGGAATAATACTAATAAACTGGAGAGCGGGCTATACAAGGAGAGGCTGAAAGACATGGGGCTGTTCGGCCTGGAGAAGAGAAGACTTAGAGGAGACTTCATAGTACTTAGGGTCAGAAGGGTCCTAAGCAGATCATCAGGTTCGATCCCCTGCCGTAGGCAGGAACGGGTGCCGGGATAATATCACCCCAGCCAAATATCTGTCCCGCCTCCTCTTGAAGTCCCCCAAGATGGAAGAGCGCACCACCTCCCCTGGGAGCCCATTCCAGAGCCTGGCAGCCCTAACTGTACAGTAATGTCTCCTGATGTCCAGCCTGAGCCTTCTCTCTACAATTTGTGGCTGTTATTCCTAGTAACCCCGGGTGATACCTGGGGGGAACAGCCTCCCCCAATTCCCGCTTGTCCCCCCTGGTGAGTTTGTAAATGTCCACCAGATCCCCTCTCAGCCTTCTCTTGTGGAGGCTGAACAGGTTCAGGCCCTTTAGCCTCTCGTAGGGCCTGCCCTGCTGCCCCCTGACCATGCAAGTGGTCCTCCTCTGGACCCTCTCAACGCTAACCACATCCCCCTTGAAGTGCGGTGCCCAGAACTGGATGCAGTACTAGTACTCCTACTGTGGCCTGACCAATGCTGCATAGAGGGGAAGGATCACCTCCCTGGACCTGTTGAACAGTACAGGCCCCAGGACCGAGCCCAGGGGGACTCCACTGTCCACATCCCTCCAGGTCGAAAACGACCCGTCCACCACCACTCTCTGGGTGCGACCATGCAGCCAATTTGCCACCCATCTGACTGTGTAGGCATCAATGTCACTTAGTTTTTTTAAGATACTATGGTGGGAAACAGTGTCAAAGGCCTTCTTAAAGTCCAGGAAGACGACATCCACCCCAGCACCCTTGTCCAGGGACTTTGTGACCTGATCATAAAAAGAAACCAGGTTAGTCAGGCAGGATCTGCCCTCAATGAACCTATGTTGGTTGTCCCTGAGCATTACATCCCCTGCTGGGCTCTTGGAGATGTACTCCTTGATAATTTTCTCAAAGGTCTTCCCAAGGACCGAGGTAAGACTGACTGGCCTATAACTGCCAGGGTCCTCTTTTCTTCCCTTCTTGTAAACAGGGATCACACTGGCCCTTTTCCAATCCTTTGGTACCTGGCCAGTGCCCCATGAGTGCTCATAGAGCCGTGCCAGGGGCCCCTCTATGACCCCTGCCAATTCCCTCAGCACCCTGCGGTGAAAAGCATCTGGACCTACTGATTTAAACATGTTCAGCCCCTCCAAAAGTTCCCTAAGTGGGACATCCCTGATCCTAGGCACGGTGGTACCTCCCCTGGGCTCGTCGCAGTTCTAGTGGGGGAGATGTCCCGGTGTCTGTTTAGGAATATGGAGGCAAAGAATTCATTAAATACTTGGTGGCAGCCTATAAGTATATAAGAGGTGCACATCAGGGCCTGGGGGAGCATCTGTTCGCTAAGCCACCCCAGGGGAAGACAAGGAATAATGGTCATAAATTGCTAGAAGATTGCTTAAGATAGGACATAAGGAGAAACTTCTTTATGGTTTGACTGTCCAGGGCCTGGATCACACTCTCCCAGAGGTGGTACAATCACCTACTGTGGAAGTCTTCAAAAAACGTCTGGACGCTCACCTGGCTGGTGTCATCTGACCTCAGCAGTCTTTCCTGCCCAAATGCAGGGAGGCTGGACCTGATGATCTCATGAGGTCTCTTCTAGCCCCCAACATCTATGAATCTATGAAAATCGACCAACTGGCTCCCATCGGAAAAAAGCTCTTCTCCCACTGTAATCTGAACAAGTCCATAGACTAGTCTACATATAGTAACATTTAAAGCCACATATTGTATTGCAAATATCTAAAAAAGGGTCTGTTTTGATCAGAGGACCTTCATAAGTTAATATAAAGACAGACCATCACCCTCCATATCCCTCTGTACTTACACCTCATCCCTGGTTCTAGATTCCAGTACCTTGCTGTGATAGTCTATGCCAGCCTATCATTTTCTCTTGCTTTTTGAGGAACCTGGTATAACTCCTACCATCAGTAGGCTTTCCCTAGCAGTGTTTGCACATCACAGTGCAAAACTCCACTCACCCTCTCAGAGAGAGGATTCTTCTCGAATCTTACTATCCAAAAGGAAGTGCAGTTGAGAGCATTACAAAGGCAGGTTACTGCAAATGCACTGCAACCACTTGACCCTTCTGAGAAAAGAAACTGTCTTCAACATCTTCTTCTAAAGAAGACTTCATTGCCTGAGCAGCTGATTCCCCCCAACCAGCTCATGCTGGCCAGCTGAGTGCAGGGCAGAGTCATGGTGCGTGTCCACTGAGGGTTGTATTGAGAGGGTTGTATTAACACTGCCCTCAGTCAGTGCCAGGGGATGCTGCAGCAGAGCCTGCCAGGCCTCTCCACATACTGATTCTTGAAACCAGCATAACATAACTGCTTTAGAGTGGTCCCGCAAAGTGTGCCCAAGGTACAGTGCTTTAGGGTGGCAACTTTTCATCCCTTTAGGTCCATCTCGTGGAAAGTGGGTGTGCTGTGCTTCACTCTACATTTGCAGTAAGCATGGTGTGTAGGCCAGGGAAGTGTGCCCAGGGGATGATGAACTGTTAGTTAGGCCAGGACTACATTTCTGAGTTCACACTCAGAAATGCTGTTGTAAATCCAGTCAACCACCATGGAAGCCAATGAAGTTACACCAGTGTGAGGGAGCAGGAGCAGGCCTTTAGAGGCAGTGTCTTCTAGTGGAGAGTTGCAAACTAGTCCTTAGGAGATTTTCATTTCATTCTTGTCAGGCAAGTTGCTTCCTCTCTCCGGCATCAGTATCATCATTGTGTTACATGTGGGAAAACTGACCTTTTCTGCAAAGCACTTAGGGGCTACAGAGTTCAAGTGCTTCATGATAAAATGTTATGCTATAACAACCTCTGGGCTCCTGGGTTCCAGTGTGAATTCACTGTGTGATCGCAGTCTTGCTTTTTTAACTTCTCTGGCCCTCGGTTTATTTATACCATAGAACTCATCTAAAGTCCCACCTCTCATCACAGACCCATGAGACTCTATTCAGGCTCACAAAGAGCCTCTGAAATCTTTGGACAGAATTTACTGGAAGTGCAAGGATGTACCATGCACCAGGCTCCCTTAGCTTGCAACATAAGGAATTATTTTGATCTGGCTCTTAAGTGGCTTTAAGCACCCTATCGACTTCACTGGGAGTTGGGGATGTTCAGTGGTTCCAGAAAATCAGCTCTTGCCCCATCGCCCCCCTACCTACCCCCCACTCAGTTCTCTTCTGCCTTCAGTTCTTCTTTGCGCAAGGTGAATTTCCAGTCCAAGATGCTGTCAAAGAAAGCAGGGGGCTTAAACAAACAGTGCTGGAGCAAATGGAATTTGCCCTTTGAAGTGAAGAGCCAGTACATCCATGAGCTCCAAAAAGGCAAAAACGTGCTCAAAGCCTTTTGTTTTGATTCTGCCAAGTTATGCAGTTTCAGGTGGTCTCTTTAATCCAGGGCTGTAGCTGTAAATGAAGAGGAAAGCCCTCCAGGACACAATCCCTTGAGAGGTAGAAATCATCCATCCATGACACTTCTCCGAGCAAAGGGGCTCTAGAGAAATGGAGACAGAACAGAGGCTCGCTTTCTAGTCTAGAGCTATTGTGGGTTCAGGCCTCTAAGAAAGCTTTTCCTTGTTGATGGAAGCATCTTGCTTTTCTACAAATCCTATCAATGGATTTTGCCAAAGGTTCTGGCAATTAGATGAAAACGGAGGCTGAGGGATTGAAAAGAGCAGCATGGAGGAGAGCTGGATGGCAGCCAGGGAACATGAATAGAAAGCTGATGGCAACCACCTAAATAATGACAAAGGTGACATCCTTTGGCTGTCTGAAGGCCTGTGGAGCAGGTGTTGCTGGATCAAAGTCAACTTCTATCAGATCAATTGACCTTTCATACAGCCAAAGAGGTGTTGGTACTATCAGAAAAAAGCCAAGAACCACTTACTTCCAGAGGGCAACTTCCTAACCCTGTCTGGAGCACTGGTGGTTAGTATCTGGGGTATCTGTTTTGTACTTAAGTAGGACTTTGCTTTCCACTGCCAGCCAGCTAGCCAGCACTACACTTATTTTAAACAAAAGAGGATTCTGCAGTTCTTGCATCCTAGTCTCTGGTGCAGTGAAGCAGGGATGAGCTAAGCAGGAAGCGGTGCTACTGTCTCCACATTGCCCAGTGTCAGTCCAGCTCCTATTTTTCACCTTTGCTTTGATTCTCTTCCAGATGTATTTCTTCTTCTCCGACAAGGTGGTACTTTTGTTTGACTTCTGGAACGTCCACAGCCCGGCAGGTAAGAAAAGCCACTTCAGGCTGCCAATCATAACCAAATGGTTGCTGCTCAGCACAGCTGGTTCACATGGGGGTTCATAAACAAGTCTGTGCATAGGGGGCTGGAAAGAGCTTGAAAGAGTCTGTAGATCAGAATCTCTTCAGTTAGTTTTGCATAACTTCTCTCTGCCACAGCCTCGCGCAGCAGGATTACCTGCCAGTAAGTCTCTCTAGCAAAGGGAGAGAGTGATAAAGGGAGCATGGTGGGTGAGAAAGACTTCTGTTTTGATTAAAAAAAAACCCCAGGGGTTTAGCCTCCTTCAGCACTGGTTGAAGGGATATGAGCCCCTACCTCTGGAAAGTTTTGTATAGAATAGTATCTACACACATGTATACAGGCAGATTCCCTTTTGGCATTTCCTGCGTGTCCCAGGATATGCTCCTAAATTATCCCAACATGGACACTCAAGAGACTATATAAGAGAGAAAGCCACTTGTTTTGGCCAAGTAAATAAGTGACTTAGACCTAGCATCACACTGATTCTTAGACCAGGTTGGAGAGCCTGAGACTCAGATTCTTCCCCGAAAGGCGAGAAGTCTTGAAGATGAAAGAAACCTGGGCTTGCAGAGTCCTGAATGCACTTTGTGAGCTAATCACCAGGGAATCATGTGCTGTGCTATAGCAAACTAAGCCTTAATCAAGCCAGTGTCAGGACTTCCTGGGGTGAAGTGAGCTAGTTTTCTTTTCCAGTCTTGAGGGTGTCTATACATGTGCAGTGACGCTGGCCCAATGCACTGTCATTAGCGTGCTAATGGCTGCTTCAGCAGACTGTAGTGTCATGTGTATCAGCATCCCTGTGCTGAAAAATGGTGGCAGGTGGTGCTTTAACTAAAGCTCATTAGAAAGCCCCCGCCACCATTTTTCAGTGCAGGGACACTGATACACGTGATGCTCCAAGCACTTTAATTAGAGCAGCTCTCAGAGCCACTCTAATTAAAGCACTTCACCTCCTCCCCTTCCTGGAGCACGTCTATAAATGCCCACAGCTGACTGCTGTCTCCCAGATTCTGTGGAACCGGCCCCTCTCCAGGTTTTGCTCAGTGGCATACGTCTTGTGAATGCCAGAGGACTGCCCTGCCCACAGGACCCAGCAAAAGGCTTTAGACAAAAGACTTTTGCAGCCTGGCATGTTGTTGAAGTCCAGCCAGTCCCTGCGGTGGGATGAACTGCTGGAGGCTGAGACTCCAAAGTAGCCATTTGTAGACTAGTACCCTGAAGCCCGCCCGCACCTAACAAGGGGCTAACCCCCACCTCCCTGTTTCCTGCTGAGTCGCAGCATACTTGGAATAAGGCTGTAAACTGCAGCGTGTGAAAAGGAAGGACCTCCTCTGTAGAACGTGTCATTAAGCTCCAGCCTGACCGGAGAGACGATTATTTTTGGATCCCTGAACTAGCTAGATTTTGGGGCAGAGTTCTTAACAGAGGCTAATTAGGGATGGCTGATAGCCAGATTCATTCATAACAGCTAGCAGAGGCCATGGCCTGTGCTGCTTGGGTGATAATTGAAGAGGGGGATTAAAGGCAGCTACTGTATGTTCTTAGTTTACCTATCTATCTAGCTGTAGAGGAGGGAGGCAGACAAGATGACAGGAATTCCCGGTGCAAAAAACCTGAATCCTCAGGATCTTGCCATAGAGAATGTATCCTCCTGCATTCTTTGCAGACCCACTGCCTGCTCTTTATTCCTGGTCTTGAAAGAGCAGGAAAAGCCCTGTTACCCCATTAGGAAATTTCTGACTACCCCACCCACCTGCCACTGGCTTACCACTGCAGGCAAAGATTACTACAGTGGCTTAGCCCAGGCTGATCATCAGTCAGCTGATTGAGTTACCACAGCTGGTCATGTCTATTCCAGGGAGGCCCAAGATTAGGACAGCAGGTGGAAGCTGCAGTCACAGAGTGAGGTTTCTTGGAGGAAGCAAGGCAGAGGGTAATTTTTTAGAATATGCCTGTTTTGTGCACTGTCACAGTTATACAAGCACTAGGTCCATGCATAAAACTGCAAGACTAAGTGGTGCAGGAAGAACAAGCAGAAGAGAATGGCGAAACTCTTCCCAACTCTTTTACAGCATAAGAGGATCATCGATAGTCTTTATCATGGACCAGGGCATGACACAAGACAAAATGCACAGAAAACATATGAGATTTTATGCTGTGTAATGGGTCAGTGAATCATGCAGTGCTCTGCTGCTGCTCCCATGCCCCAGATCTGCATTAAAATTAATTCTGTACCTCATTCCCCAAGTTCACCTCTTTCATTTGGATGGGGCTAGAGCGAGCCTCCTCCAAGATGAATTGAGCAGAAGACATAGAGAAGGTCCACAGACATTGATCAGATGCCATAAGAAGCACCATTTAATTCCTATTGGACTGGATCTTGGCAGCCTAATTCTTACCTGGAAAAGACAGGGATAGGGTGGAGGTGGGGAGTGAGTAAAAGGGGCAGGGGACAAACTTGGGCCAAGAGCCAGTTGTTGTGTGCTTAGACTGATGCCCTTTCAGTTTCTTACACTTGAACTCAGCCTTCAAGTCTTCCATGCATCACTTGCTACTGAGGCTTGGTCGCAGCATGGGTTAAGTGGCGCTTATGTTGTGCAGGGACGGCTCCATCTGAGCAGGTTGCAGGCCCTCTGAGTGGTGTTTGCCTTGCAGGGATGGCACTGTCGGTGGTGGTGATCCTGCTGCTGGCAGCATTGTACGAAGTCATCAAGGTCACCAAAGGCAAACTGCTTCATCGGACAGTGTTGTCTGTCCCCACCAGCATCAGTCAGGAGTCATTAGAAGAACGAGACAGGGCATCTGTCAACTCAGAGCGAGGTCAGCAAAACTCCACCCAAAAAAGGTAATCCAAGCTCAGTTGCAGGCTCTCACAAAAGCTGTCCAAGAGACACTAGCTAAGATCTTTGGGCTTTATGGGCTTCCCAACCTGGAATGCTTGGCCTGTATAGTTATTAGAGTGGGGTTGACTCCCACCCCGCTCCCAGCTAGTTTTCCCTCACTAAATGCCCATTCCACAAATGACGGGGCTGCTCTTCTGGCCTCAGGGAAGCCTGGCTTGCTGTTCCCAGGTGCAGTAGCAATCCTTAACATCAGAGGAGATTTCTCATTCATACGTGCATGATTAAAACCAGCAAGACTAGGAATGAATCATCTCTTTGTCATAATGTCAGTACAGAGCGTTCTTCCCTCCGCTTCCCCTGCAGCAGTGAATGGGGAATCTGTTTGATCAGGCAGGCCTGGCCAATGTGATCAGTGTCCTTCTCTGGCCCGGGTGGGAGGTGATGGAATTCGGTTTATATAGCAAAACCTGTTCAGATAGCCCTTCGCCTGCTGGAGGCAAGCATAAGGAATCATTTATCATCTTCACTGGGAGACTGTTTCCAGGCAAGCAATATCTGCCTTCAGTTAAGACTAGTTTCACTGTAGTTTTCTGGAGACCATATGTTTTTCACAAATACCCAAATACTATTCATAGAACATCAGATGCAAACATACAGATAGCAACCAAAATGCCTGAGAAGTAGTACATGAGACCAGAGCTTCACACCCAAAGGCCTGTGTCGTCCACATGACTACAAAAAGCCAGCAAAACCCAAGCAGCAGAGGCAACATATAATGCAAGAGGATGATGTGATTCTGAGCCAGCCAGGATCATGCCTTGCCTCTCCTGTTCTACACGATCCAGCGTGATGATGGGAGATGGAAAGGAAGAACCACAGTATGGGTTTGAGACTACCCAATACAAGTCAGCCAGCTGGAGTGCTGAGATCACTGCTGCCTAAAGTATCTCACTGTTTCTGGGTGTAATGCCATCTTTTTGCATATACCAAGGGCTGCATGACTAGAGGCCAGCACAGGGCTCATTGGCAAGGCTTGGGCTCTCCATCTCTTTTTTTGCTTTTTTTTTTTGCTTAGGTGGTTTCTGTACCATGTCAGCCAGACGCTGCTCCATGTGATCCAGGTGATTATTGGTTATCTGGTGATGCTGGCTGTGATGTCCTACAACACCTGGATCTTCCTGGGTGTGATTGTGGGCTCCACAGTGGGTTACTATGTGGCCTACCCAATACTCAATGCGCGATAGAAGCTCCTGGACCGGTTGCATTCAAGGACGCTGTTGCACAGAAGAGGGCAGCATCTCCCATGGGAGGATGGCGACTGATTTTCCACTGGAGAAACTACTCATGGCCTCTAATGCTGGAAAGAGTCCCAGAGCACTGGGGAATTTCCTACTTCTTTCATTGCATTTTGGCTTATACTGTTATAAAAAAATCTACATATATTTTTAAAATCACATTTGAACCATTTCCGCTGGGCCTGCCCTCCTCCCACTTGCTGTGCAGGCAACGGCACCAAAGAGGACCTAGGTTGGGTCCAGGACTGTTTACTGGTCTATGGCCACCATTATCCCCACTGCCACTTGCCAGCGTGGGAGCTTCCCTCAGCAGAAAAGCAATTAACACTGACTTTGAATCCACCCTCAAGTCTCACTCAGGAATCCCAGGAACCTTTTCCCATCAACCAGGGGGAACGTAGAGGTTTGTACCCTTGTCAGCATTGCTCTGGTTTGGTTCCAAGTTGAGCCAGCAAGTGGGTGACATGCTGTATTTAAATCCAGGATGTGGATGTGATGGGAACAACTCTGGCATGACTTTATCCTCCCTCTCATATGTCTGTTCAGGATTCTGCCTGGTCCCATTCACTTTTCCTTACTGCTTGTGGTCAGGGAGAAGGAGCAGAATTGGAAAGAGGTGGTATAACCCTAATGTTATCTCTTATCCTCCACGGGTTCCTTTACAAACCCTGCCCCGTGCCACCCTGTGCCCTTCACCTCACACGGTGCCTTCTGTGTTCCTGTAGCACTAACTGTGACTCAGCGCATCATGGCATGGAGAGGTGGATGCAGTGCAAGCTGCTCTTGCATTGGTTTCCAGAATCTCTGAAGGCAACTGCATTCATGTGCCAGACAGGAGATTTTACCACACCTTTAGCTCTCCTGTGAAATATGAACCTTCATTTCTACTTGGGAGAACTTTACAGTCTTTTCTCGTATGCCTGCAAAAGGGTGCCTGTGCCTGAAAGCTTGCAATTACAGAATGTTTGGTTTTTTTTGCAAAAATGTAGTTGGTCTAATAAAAGATATCACCCCTATCAGGAGTTCTGGCTGCATTAATGTAGAACTAGTAGGTGTAGCTCTTACATGTGTGCAGTGACAACTGCTGTGGAAACACAGGTTTGCCAAGCTCCTACTGTGTCTCTCTGGTTCTTCCTGTTCTTCTCAGAGAAGGGCCCATTTTAATACAGCCATCTTTATCATTTATTTGCTTGTATGTGTGCATGTGCCTTAAAATGCTGGCCCTCACCTCAGGGGTACAGCAGACTTAGTTTACTTTATATATATACTTTTAAAATAATCAATATCCTCTGACACGTGGACAGTCTGACTGCCCAGGAGCCAGTGAACTATTCACCGCATAGACACCGGGACTGTGCAAGGCTCCATCAAGGCCATAACTTATAGGTACAATCCACCCTGTTTAAGATACCAGCTACAGCTGATCTCTGACAGGTTTCTCCAAGGACTTCCATCATCTTTTTAGTAATTCCCAGGGTCAGTGGTGCTTCCTAACCCAGGAAACTCCACTTCAATGTTGACATTTTTCGTGGGGGTGCAGAGTCTTCAGTTATGCAGCCACTTAGACGTACTGTGGCAAATAGGAGAAGAGCTTGGCATTCAAGTGCACCGTGTAGGCATAGGGTTGTTCATGGTAATCGTGTTGGTCTAAGGACAGGCAGGCAAGGTTCTTTGGGTAGATGTGATATCGTTTATTAGACCAACTAAAAAGTTGGAAAGAAGTTGAAAAAACCTGCCTGACATCTGACACCCCAGGTAACCTGTTTCCAACAGACTACTTGCCTTCCTTCACACATTTCCCTACCTTCCCCATCTCCCCTCCTATCTCTACCCGTGGTCTTCATTTGCATTTTCACAGGCAAGCTTCTTGTACATTTGCTTCTTTCCTACCTTGGAGAACACGTAACACCAGCTGAGTCTCCCTGTGCCTGATGAAGGGTGTTTGTGCCTGAAAGCTTGCAAAGAACTTTTTTCCAACTTTTTATTGGGTCTAATAAAAGATATCACATCTACCCAAAGACCCTTGCCTGCCCCATGTAGGCACATACACTTCTGCCTACAGAGCAGTGAGCAAACAGGGGCAGCAAACAGGGCAAGCAGTTTGCAAGCAGTTCACTGGGAGCAAAAGGAAGGGGAAGTGGAGGTTGGCCTGAAGTACCAGATCCTGCTTTGGAAAGGTAAGTGAGCCAGGGCTGCCTGTGTGTTTGGCTCCTGCCTATTTGTTTGGTGGGCTGTGTGTGTTTGAGGCGTGTGCTCTGAAAAACTGGGAGTGCCACTAGCTGAATGATTGCTAAGTGATTGTTGGGCGATTGATGTCCCTGTCTGACAAAAGCCCAGCTTGGCTTAACAGGGAACACTCCAGTCAGCTAAAATACAAAAAGGAAGATTATATGAGCTGGAAATTTGGACAAACAACAAAGGAAAACTGTAAGAGCATTGCTGGGGCATGCAGGGGTGAAGTCAGGAAGGCCAAAGCACAATTGGAGCTGCAGCTAGCAAGGGATATGAAGGGTAACAAGAAAGGTTTCTATAAGTATGCTGGTAACAAGAGGAGGATCAGGGAAAGTGTGAGCCCCTTACTGAACAGGGGAGGCAACCAAGGGTGCAGAAAACGTTGAAGTGCTCAATGTCTTTTTTACTTCAGTCTTCACAGGCAAGATCAGCTCCCAGACTATTGTGCCTGGCAGCACAGATTGGGGAGCAGCCAACAGTGGCCAAAGGACAGGTTAGGGATTATTAAGAAAAGCTAGACGGGAAGTACCCAAGGTTGCTGAGGAAGTTGGCTGATGTGCAGGGATCCAGGTTTTCAGTTTCCCATGGGAAAATGGAGAAAAAAGTGGGTTTCCCCCTTTGCCTGAGGAAAATGTGGATTTCTCATTTTAACAGAGAAACCCGTGGATTTTGCACTTTTGCACAGAGCTCTCTGCAGGCTGGTACAGTTCCAGCCTGGAAGGGGCTGCGGGGAGCTGGAGGAGGGTGGTCAGGCAGGGACTGCCATGTACACGCACTTGGTGGCCAAGCAGCTGGGAGAGGAGCTTCTGCAGATAAGTCGGGGTGGTGTGGGGATTGAGGCCCCATAAGGAGGGGCAGGGGAACCTGTGCCCCCAGATCTGTGTGCAGGGTGGGGGTAGACATGTGCTTCCTGCTGTGGGCTCAGGCTCCCTGCTCTGCTGCCGTCCCTTGGGGGCCTCCACAGCCCCGTGGGTCAGACCCGGCGGGGCAAGGTAGAGCGGGAAAGCTCCTTGCCGCTGCAAGCTCCACGTTGCCCTGGCAAGGTATCCCTTGTGCACCCAGTAGCAGTGAGGGGCACAACCCTGCATTGCCACCCCTACAGCTCCTTGTGGCTGCCCCTACCAGCCCCAGCCCCACTGCCTGGGCACCCATTGCTGGGGGCAGAGCCGGGTGGCTGGGATGGGGCCAGGGTGAGATAAGTGGGTGGAACTGGGGGGGACCTGGGGTCTTGTGGCGATGACAGCATGCAGTGGGATGGGCAGAGCTGCAATCCTCTGCCCATGTGTCCCTGTGACGAGCGTGGGTTGCGTGGGCAGGGGTGTGCAGGCAGCAGATTGTGGCTCTGCCTCGGCTCCAGCCCTGCACCATCACCACCACAAGATCCAGGTCTTCCCTGCCCTGGAGCAGCTCCCTGCCCAGCCGGGGAGACTCCAGGAACGGGGGGCACTGGCAGCACAAGGTCATGGCAGCGCAGGGCTGGGGCTGAGGTAGAGCCCTGCATTGTTAAAGCCCTGTGCTGTCACAGCCCCCCCAGCTCCTGGGGTCTCCATGAAGACTGCCAGGAGCTGTGCGGGCAGCTGCTGGGAAATGGAGTACAGCAGCTGACTGGATCCACCATTTTGCCCACCCCTGAGCTAGACGATTGTCAGGGGTGGCAGATGACAACAAGGAGCAAGGGTCTCAAGTTGCAGCAAGGGAAGTTTAGGTTAGATATTAGGAAAAACCTTCTCACTAGGAGGGTAGGAGAGAGGTTGTGGAGTCTTCATCCTTGGAGGTTTTTAAAGCTAGACAAAGCCTTGGCTGAGATGATATAGCTGGGGATGGTCCTGCTTTGAGCAGGGGGTTGGACTAGATGTGACCTCCTGAGGTCCCTTCCAACCCTCACTTTCTATGATTTTATGAACACACGGAGCTGAGGGCCACCTGCTCTAGTACATCTGGCCTCTTCATCATTTGGGCAGCGGAAAGGACCAGATCATAGCTATAAATGTCTAGCAGGAGACTCCCCTGGTGCAAAAGAACTCTTCCATGATGTACAGCTGATCAAGTTAATGCCAGCTACTCCTTTCTGGCCAGTGGGGCACAGATGATCGATTATATTTATTCTCCTCCGCGACACACAGTCCATTCTGGTCCTACTGCTGTAACAATGGCTGAGCCAGACCAGGTCTTGACCTCAATATGCAAACAGTGTGCATCCCCAAGACAGAACTGTCTTTGGCATGGATGTTCCCTGGATCTTAGTTTCAGTGCAACCCATAGAGCTGCTAAGAACTTGCTGTCACAGAAACGGCTGCAGACATGTAGATAACACAGCCATCCTCTTTCCGAGCTCACCATCTTGATGCAATATAAGAAATAACCCTCCTTTAAAAAAAAAAGTTGTCCATGTTTTATCTGTCTGGCTCCCCAGACTGTTGGAGAGCCACCTGGGACATACTGCCCCGACACATACCTCTCCTCAGGAATCAGAGCGATGTGGCTTTGCTTCTTTCAAATGGCAAGTCTTGCTACTCTCATAAGTAGTCAGTCCACACTACACCAGGGCACGGCACAACTTGCCAGGCTGGTTTTTCCATCCAAACTGTTCTATTAGTTTGTCCTTTGCTCTCACTACTTTCTACCCCAGGATCTTATTGCAAAGTGAGTATTATCCTCCATTTTACAGATGGAATCAGGCACTGAACTGCTCCATGCTTAAAGCCACACAGCTAGTCAGGAACACCAAAATTCATTTCCAGCTCGAACACAAAGATTCATTTCCAGCTATTGAGGTATCTCTTCCTCCTGCATACATGGGACTTCCCATAGTAGGGTGTCATGCCACGAGGGATAAAGGGCTCTTGGCAGCCACTAAGCAAATGGATGCTTGCGGAAATTGCTACCCCCCCCGATAACATCCGAAGTACCTGAGCTAGCTCCAGCATCTTTGCCTGGCACTGCATGATGCTGCATAGACATATATTTAGAATGACTTAGAGCTCATTATGTTCATCCCCAGAGCAATAGGAAGGTGGTCTGGGTTTAGAGTACCAGACCAGGACACACATTTGGCCACAGGTTTCTTGTGCAAGCTCAGTCAGGTCACATTGTCTTGCTATACTCCAGTTCCCTATATCCCCTTCCTTGTGCTCTCTCTTGGTTCATCTAGCATAAGAAGAGATGGCCCCAGTCTCCCAAAATCCTATTGCTTGTATTGCACAATGCCTAATGTGGTGGCCTGGGTCTCTCAATGCAAACAGAATACAAGCAAAATCAGACATAAGCCACAAACCCTGACACATGACAGGCTCTCTAGGACAGTGCCAGCTCAGTGCGGTCCCAGCCACCATTTGCATGTTACCATAACATATACTCGCTAAAGCAACCTCTTAGCTGACCCCAGACTCTGTGCCACATTGGAGCAATGCACTAGTTCTTAACGTAGAGCTTCAATTCTAGTCTGGACCCAACCATTTTGGCTCAATTTGCTCCACTCCCGAACCTTCATGTGTAAGGTCTCCCAGTCTTTTGGGAAGCAGTTGTCCGAGAATGGTGGTGAATCAGTCAGGAACGAGACTCTCCGCTGGCTTTAAATAAGGCTGATTTTTATTTAATTCTTCTAAGCATATTTTAAACATTTGTATAACATTCTCAATGTATTGCGAAAGAGACAAGGTTTTTAATCCCCAATGCAAGGCACTTGTTGGGAGAGCCCAAGTTGTTTAGACTGGGCATCCCCCAGTTAAAAAAGAAACAACGGCATTTAAAATACACACGGAAGTTGGAATGTCTTTGTAGTTGAGGAAAGGGCCGGTACAGGTGAGCTCCCTTTCCATTTGTGTTGTAAGAAGAACTGTCCTAGTCAGGTGACTTGACAAGTCATGTCAACCACATGTCACATTTTAAGTACAGGAACATGTCATTTGTCTGCTGAAATCCTTCCCACAACCCACGTCCCACCAGCTACATGC